TTCATCTCAATGGGATGATTTGAGAGTTCTAATTTTTCTTCTGGTTTAATGGCTTTTCAGAAGCATCAGGAGTGAAAGTTCTTTGAATTTTTTTCATGGTCATTCATATGATAATATTTTGGGGGGAAATATTACAAATGTTTTTTCATGGAAAAAAATTATACTGTACTTACATTCTGGAGTTATATTTCCTGAGTATAAGTAAGATCAAGTTTTGTTTCATTTTAAACGAAGGGCGACTTTATAATTCATTTTTCTTTTTAATAACAGATGAAATCCACAATCACTAACACTGGAGTCTTTGATGTTAACATGACATTTATCAAGAAAACTTTGATTTAAAAAAACATCACTGAAGGTAGAGGATTAACAAGCTTAGGAATTTTAAACAATATAGATAGGAAATTCAGGTATGGTTAAAAAAAAACAAAAACGAAAACAAAACTAACCTCCTTAATAAATCAAACGAAGTTCATTAACTTTCTAATTGACATTTAGATGAATGTGGCCGTGCCTATGTACAACTCTGTTAACACAGGTTAGCCCTGTGAAAACGTAGTGGCAACAATTCAAGTACCACACTGTACAAAGTGAAGCAAAGAGTTAAAGCTAAATCATCCCCTAGATTTTCACCTGGATCCACTCAAATTTAGGGCAAAGGAATGAAGAAGGCAAGAACCATAACTGAAAACTCTGGATATTCAGCGGTTTTGAATATCTCTTCACAAAATAACTCATTTAGCACTAAAAAACATTTTATCCCTAGAATGAACACTGAGAATATACCTTTTCTGTCCAAAATAACCTTTGCTCAAAATGTTTCACCATTTGATCTCAGGCTCTTCTCCAGCTTCCCAGGCTTATCTTCATTTACACCTACTTACTACAGTTGATACTCACGCCATCTAAAAAGGAGGTGGCTCCTAGCTCCATGGATGCAATTACTGTGATGTGTGCTTGCCATCCTTATCCAGTAGAAATTGTATGTTGCTGAGAATGATTGATTGATTACTGCCTTTGTACTTGATTTTGTCATTATTCATTATTTTCTTTGTCAAACAGACCCACACTCTTCTTCACATAATCACCCAGTCCTGTCTCTCAGTAAGCAAAGTAGCTGATGGCTCCCAGCAGTCCACTGTGGAAACATGTAATGATAGCCCTTTGCAAAAATGGCTACTAAGAAACTATACAAGAATGGAAGTTTTTAGAAATATTTTTGAGAATCCTACTGATTATATTCTCTAATAAGTTTTGGAAGTTTGTGTTGTAGACTATGTTAAATTTATTTTACTATTTTTCTTATGTTCTGTTATCGAAATCTAGAAACTTCTTTAAAATGTACTTAAGAAAAATCTGTATGTGCTGTTTCTCCATGGAATTATTTTTCTGTCCTTTACTTCTTAGCTGCTTATTAATTCGGAAGCTGACTATATTAAGTATTCTTTGGTCTATTATTAATTAATAAGTATTTTCCAGTTTTCACTTTATTGCAAATATTTATACATGCATAAATATAATTAATGGAATACATTATGAAATTAGCTCCTTTTTAGGCTAACTATAGCCATGTTTATGTAACAGTAGATTTTGCATTAGAGCTGAGAAAAATCAGTTAAAAAAAATCTAACATAGCCAAAAAAAGGATTGTTTTTGGAACATTAAAATTAATTAATTTTATTAATTTTTATTCCAGTACTTCCATTGTGTTCAGATTTAGGAGAGCTTTTCTAGAATTTACTTTAACCTGAAACTTTAAGCAAATGCATTTTTAAAAACTAAGATGTAATTTTCAGTAACTTTATAAATTATATCTAAGTATTTCTTTGTGGTTGGCAAAGTGATATAGTAATAAAAGCTTTTTAAAAATTTTATCTCTTATCACTTGTGTGATTTGTGAATATCTTCTCAGTAAGCAATAAAATGAATCCTTATTCAGTTGAAGTCAAAAGACTTACAGAATTTTTAGAAAGAGTACAAATAAGAATATGTCCTTGTTCTTGATCTTAGGGGATTATTGTCCTGTAAATAAAGGATATTACGTTGTGCAGTACCTTCCTATGAGAACACATGGGAAGTTAGGGCATTATTCTGGTTCCAGTGAACCAGTTAAAGGTTGTTAGTGGAAGACACAATTGAGCTTGGAATGCTCATGACAAGGCTGAATGAGGTATAGAGAGGTGTGGAGAGAAGGGGCATTGTTTACGTTAGAACTATATTTGAGATGTGTTAGAAAGCTGGGAAAGTCTGGACTCTGCACAGAGAACTTGTGTACAAGGCAATTTATATATATTATGTTTGTTTCCAAAGCATACTTGGCAATGTAACGCCCAGCAAGGGGTCTTCTTAGGCTTAACTAGACATTTAGTCTCGTGAGTTTACTTACAGAATTCTCGGACAGAAACCACAACTTGCTTCTCTCAGCAGACCTTGTAGCAGTTCATATTAGCCTTAGGGGAGCCAGCTTTTCCACAGGTGACAGCCTGCTGTGAGGGGATGAGAGCCTTATCAGGCTGGTGTGGCAACCATCCCAGCTTGATAGGTTTATGACCCATGGAGACAGATCTCTGTTAACTCCACAGGCCCAGCTCCCAGGAAGCCAAGAGCGTATGCAGAATTACAAGTCTTGGCGCTTTGAGAAGTCCACGATTTGTTTCTTATCAGGTATTTCTAATGAAGTTTATCAGATACAGATGCAGTTTATCCTTCAGAGGTTATTTCCACCATAAGCAATGTTGCCTAGAAACATGTTAACATTGTTACTCTTACCAGATTGCTAAGGGATCACAGTTACATAGTTGACTAAAGGTTAACTTTTTTAAGCAGCAGAGAAGAGGGCATTTTTAAACACTCGTAAGTATAATTACGCATTTTCTGACAAAGAATCTGATTCCTCAGAATGATTTGGTAGCTTGCCCAAATTTTCATGGCTAGGAATTCACACGTAGGTCTGTCTGACCCTAAACTGGTCTTTCTCCTGCGCTCCATTAAAAAGAAGAGGTTTTTGGTGAGTTGTTATCTTTATGATGGTGGCTTTTGACTAATGAATTCCTTCAAAGAAAATACTTTTTACCAAAAAAATACTAACCTTTTTAAAACTATCATTATTTGTGTACTTGACAACACATATTCGATCTGATCCTTAAAGTCACATACTTTTTTTAAAAAAAAAAAAAAAGATCTAATAAAAGCAAGCAAAGGCGAATGGCTTTTTTTGAAAGAAGACACATATACACAAAGGACCTCAGGTATGTAACAAAAATAAAGAATATTTTGTTGATTTTAACTAAAACTTTCTAGGAAAAAAAATGTTTGTTTTGTATCTTTTTTTTTCAAGTTGGTGGCTGGTTCATAAGCCAACAGCATCTTTTCTGTCACCATAAGCATAAGTCAACCATCTTCTTGCCTATCTTGGGCTTTTGGCCATTTCATCTTTTCTCTCTCTCTCTCTCTCTGTCTCTCTTTTTTGTATAAATAGCTTGATTTCATGTATTGAAAGAGCAACGAAAGCCTCAATCTTGAAATCTCCTTCCTGTCTAATAGCCTTGTGCTTTTAATTTCCTGCTCGTTGCCAATGAAGCATCCCACCACAAGCCTGTTTTCCATTCAGTCTTTCCTCAGGACAGTACAGCCCAGGGTATGCAGTCCTAATCCAAACAAATTAAAATTGTCCAGGCAGTGTTTCTCCACCATTTTTATTGCATCCGCCCTGCATTTTTTTTAAATCCAACTTTCAGTGTAATTTCAAGAGCTGCCCCGTGCAAAAATGTTTGTTTACCTTTAATTTTAGTATTGGCAACAAAAGTGTATGGTGTGCTGTTTCTCGAGATATACCTGCAAATCACCTCCCATACATTCAAACGCTTTTCTTCTGGTTTAGGGTTTTTCATATAAAATGGTTCTAGGCATTGCCCATGAAACTGAGCAGAAATGTATATAATACGTGTGCATATGTATAAAACACGTGATCTTAAAATGTGTATCTGGGGGTGCATGGTTAGCTCAGATGGTTAAGTGTCTGCCTTCAGCACGGGTCATGATCTCTGGGTCCTGGGATCAAGCCCCAAGTAGGGCTCCTGGCTCAGCAGGGAGTCTGCTTTTCCTTCTTCCTCAACCTCTCTCCCCTGCTCATTCTCTCTCTCTCTCTTTTTGTCTCAAATGAATAAATTAAAAAAATCTTTAAAATGTGTATCTGAAAAGTTCAAAAAATATGATTTCAAAATATAAATGTAAACTCAAAACAGAAGACATGTGATGACTGGTTCACGTGCTACAATTACTGGAATTATATTTCAGCATTCAGGCACTGAGAGGATGCTTATTAATGAATATCGTTATTATGCACAAAGTAAAATGCACATATAATATTTCAAAACATATGACCATAACATCTCTTTTTATATTTGGTATTGCTATTTTTTAAGATGCTTAAAAATGAAAACCAAAATATGGTGAGCATACTATCAAGTAACACAGGTCTTTGTTGCTATTGCTATGATAATCATTCATCTACACTGAATGTCTCATAGGCACAGATACTATAGAGTGTTTAGTATTTTGAAATGGGAACATCTCTAGCGGTTTTGTTCATTTGGGTCACAGCTGTGACATCTCTTTGCATGTTTACCAAATGGTTACTGAATCAACACATGCCTAAGAAAACTAAGCTTTTGTGAAAGCATGTTAATATTTGCAGCCCTTAAGTGAACTCAGAGCTCACAAATGGGCTTTTTGCAAAGGAGCCTGAATTCTTGGCAATGCATGATAAATGTCAGCCAATTTCTTTAACCATCTGCAGCTAAAGGTGCATTAGACAACGAAGAAACTGTAACCGTGAAACTTGTGTAATAATTCAGAGCCATGTGCATAGTTCATTTTATAAACATATCACTGTGTGCACTAAAAAAATTATAAAGGATTTTTTAAAAGAGATTTAATCTAATGAACGAGTGAAGTTAAAGATAAAATAGGTTGCACTGATTATTGGTTATCTTTTACAGAGACTCACCTTGAGACATGTTAACAGTAACCAATGCCTCGATGAACCTTCTGAAGAAGACAAAATGGTTCCTACCATGCAGGACTGTAGTGGAAGCAGATCCCAACAATGGCTGCTAAGGAACATGACATTGGGGGCATGAAGATTGTTTCCCAAAGCCATGAAAGTGTCTACACTTTTGTTTTTCCATTATTTCAATTAGGGAAAGATATTAACTTTGCTGAATTGAAAGTTTTAAAATCCTTTTAGTATTCTAAAATACAATTGTTTATAATTCATTTTTAGGAATGTTTGCTTATTTCCCTACTAAAATTTGTATCTGATCAAAAGAAGCACATACAATATAAATAACAGCAAACTGTTATTAAACATCAGAACAACTTGAAAAATAAATTGGGTTTGCTTTAAAACAATAATCTCTATTGTCCTCATCTCATAAGGTCAGTCAGGGGTTTATTTTAATTTTTTTTTGTCATAGTGATTGAAAGAGAGACAATGTAAATGCCTTATAAAATATCTTCATTATGATATATTATCAATTGTTTTAAAAACTCACTCTGTTTCTAATGGACCTTCAAGGAAACATGTTGGATTTCTATGTCAACAACAAGGCCACATATTGAATTATTTCTGAGCAGTGAATTCATCATACAAGATAAGTTTAAATTTTGTATGAAAAAAATTACATTGGATATTGACTTCTCATAGAGTCCTTATAAAAGCATCACCGTTAAACAAAATAGAGGAGAGTTTGAAAGTTCAATTTCAAGTACATGAAATCAGAGGAAACTAGCTAGGCATTGAGGGGAGAAAGATGAAGCGAAATTGAAAAAAAATAAATCATTATAAAAGACATTCTGTTCAGGTTGCGATCACTCCTAGCACAGATTGAGCATAACAATCATCTTGGTCCCAGAGTTGATGCTGGAAATTCAATTCTTAACCACTGCCTCTGTCCCACAGAAACTATACAGACCCTTTTCACGGTAGAGAATGACTTATCTCTTATGCTGTACAGAATTATAGGTGAAGGGTAGAGTACTTTCCATAATTTTTAATTCTTTGGCATTTGAAGATTCTAGTTAGGCCACTATTACCATTTTAATTTTATGTTTTAAAAAATAATGTGCTTCTATCAGAATTTCACTGCCATCCAATAGTATCTAAAATTTTCACCAGGGGAATGGACTCAATACACAGCCATTAAACTTTTATTTTAATTAAACTGCTTAAAATCATTTGCCATAAGTTATAGTTCAAGGAAGACAATCATAATTAGACCAGCTTCACATGTTCTTTTTCCATCTTCAAACCCTTTATGTTCAAAATACATGAGCAGAAGATGTGAAAAGGGAAGAAAATTTATCTGAGATTTGTGCTATTAAGTTTTAGGATCTGATACCATTTAAATGCTCATAAAGTTGCCCAGCGTATGTATCTTAGTCATTATAACTGCACTCAGCTGCTAATAGAAATTTAGGGGGAAAATGGGAGAAGCATCCCCTAGAGCAGAAGATGTTACATCTTTGGCCCTCATCTTTTCTTTAAAAATCTCTGAGAGAAACTTGTAATCAGTATGGCTACACACAAACTCTCTTTGTCTCTTGCTCTGTCTCTCTGTCACACACACACACACACACACACACACACACACACACTGCTTTATAATAAAAAGGAGAACACTTTCTGAAGGCCAGTAAAATCCTGTATGATTTTCCCATCTAGCATCCCTTTCTCTTTTGGCTGTATACTGGTACAACTCTAAAGAAGATTTCTACAACCTGAAGCATTTCAGGTTTACTCCTTAAAGTGTACACACCCTTCACCTCAAGCTGGCTGGGAATCCCTGAATCTCCTAAAATTTTAAACAAAAGTTTCAATGTCAGGGCATATGGTTTTGAGGAAAGAATCTGTAGCTTCCAGCAAACTTCAAAGGAAGCTATGACTGCCAAGAGCTATTGAACCACTGCCTTAAATTGATAGTGGCCTCACAAGACAACCCAAGGTTTGACTTAACAATCACATTTTCCATTTTGCTCTCTTTTCTTCCTGTGCTGACTAAAATACAGTAAAATGTCCCTGCACAACATTCTTCCTTAAACTAGAAAAGCTCAAACCTTCAAGGACTCTTTTATACTATCTGTTCCACTTATTGTGGATTTGTCAATCAAAATGCTTATGTTATCTACAAAATGGTCAATGACACATTTTTTTAATATACAGCTGCTCCATGGGAACTGAATTTGACACATTTCAGCAACATTTTAAATATTTCAAAGTCCATTATGGTCATAGCAACAACACAGGAAAAATTAAAACTGTGTAAGTTTCATGCCAGAGATTTTCAAAGAACCCTCAGATGGTTTAAACACATTGTGTTAGAGTGTTTAATAAACAAACAAAAAAATGCCATAAAATATAAAACACCAAAACCCAAAAAGCAATGACTAACATTCAGTTTAAGCAAAAAAAATCTACTGTATTCAGCACAGAACATTAAAAATGATGATTGGCTTCACGGTGCATTCATCTTATCTGTGGGGCTAGACTAACAAATATTTCAAATGATTTCAAACTTCCCCTTCTGATGTTTTCCCCACAGCAGAGTTATTGCCAATTCCATCTTTCCAGATGTCAAGATCAAAAACCTCAAGTCACTTTTGATTCCTCTGTTTTTCTCTCCACTTTCATCTAATCCATCAGCAAAATCCCTTGATTCTATATTTGAAATATAACCAGAAGCCAACGACTTCCCACCGCATCCACTGTGTACCACCACCTCTAGCTTTTTAAACTGTGGTATGCTTATAATTTGGTTCCCCTCATTTCCCAACCCTTGCCTCCAACAGCCTTTATCAGTTACAGCAGCCTTAGGGGTTTTGTTAAACATCAATTTGATTGTGTCACTTCTTTGCTCACCACCCTCCAATGACTTTCCATGTCTCTCTAACCAAATTTCTTACAGCGGTCTTCAAGGCCCTTGGTGAATGACACCGCTCTCCTCAAGCACATGCGCGCGAGCCACCCCCCCCCGCCCCCCTCCCTTGCATACCCAGCAAGCGCTCCTTTCTTACTGCATCTCCTCATGCTGCCCCTCACGTGCTCCAGTCTGGCTGCCAAGCAGGTTTTTGTCTTCTTGTTTTGCTCCCTCTGTCCCACAGAGTTCTCTCACCTCTCTTTCTTTAGGTAGCTGTCCAAATAGTCTCATCGGTAAGGCAAACCCTTCTCCCTCGTACCCTCCCTCTCCCCTGTATGTTCTCTGACAAACTACAAATTTGTTTTTTTTCCTATCTACCCTTCCACCTCTGCCCCCTTCCCAACATTCTCATCACACACCCTAGAATGTAAGCCCCATAAAGGCCAGGCTTTGCCAGTTTTATTCACTGTGGTATCCCCAAGCATCTAATATAGTTCTGGGCACAAAGTAAGTATTCTTTAAATATTTCTTGAATTAATGAACTGAAAAAATGGGTGTTAAAGTTGCTAAATGCTACTGTAGCATATCTTTTTCTTTTGCACTGTATTTTAAAATTTTTAAATAAAATCTAGTAATATATTTAGACAAGATTTGCATAACTTTGTCTCCAAATGATAATTTTCTCCCTAATATTCTTTACATTAAAGTAGGGACTACATTTTGTTCTCTATGGTAAAATAGCCTGCCTTATGGAAGTGAAATATGACATTTTATAAACATGCTGCTCTATTATATAAGTTGCTTTATGAAGATAAAATTTTTATTTTTATTTTTTGGTTGTATTCAATGGCTACCTGAAGGAGTGAGATTTTTTTATTTTTAGAGTGGAGACATGTCATCCTCTTAAAAGTCATATGTATTTTCAGTTTCATAGGAGCTATTACTAATGTATTTTCTAAGTACAAGTCTATGAATGGAACACAAACAGTAACTTTGAGAGGAATTTACAGATGATCTATTCCTTGCTTCTCCATTTACAAATAAGACCAACATCCAGATATGTAATGTGGCCTGCCTAGGGGTCAGATAACTATAAACTGTGTTCCCAGAACTCATCATTCTTAATATAACCTAATATAGTCTTCAATTAAAAAGCATTCAAAAATAAAGTAGAAAGGGTACAATAATGAGAAAAAAAGTCTTCATTAAACATTTTGTGCTAAGTACATTGACTTTTTTGAGATATATTACTTCTCACTGCCTTTCATATTTAAATAAGATTAGTTCTACAAAATAATACCATAGGAAATAAAGACCTGTAGCAAAAATAAAGAAATTAACAGGAAACAGCATGATTACAGAGCATCCTGGCATTACTGACCAAAATGAGTTTCAGGGAAGCAAAGCCTCTTAAGCAGTAACTAATGGAGCATACCTTCCCCTCACTTCTATTTTCCATATAATTATGTTCAAGTTAAAAATGATTGGCCTACAGCTTGCATAGAGCATTAGACCATCTACTACTGTGAACACTGGATAGATTCTAGGCTATGCAGGTTTAAAGACTACAGGGTAATCAGCAGAGACTTCTAGGCTTCCCAGTGGAGCTCTCTAGACTCCAGTAAACACAACCCATAAATTCAATTTTGCCATGGTTCTTAGAAAGAGCCTAATAAATAAAAAAGGGGGAAAAAAAGCAAAGAGAGAGAGAGACGGAGAGAGAGAAAGAAAAAGAGAAAGAGAAAGAAAGAGAAAAGAACTACTAGAGTAGAACAACAGGCATGATTTTACCTTTTATTTTGTGGGAAGTTAAGAGAATAGTATGAATTGGTTCAGTAAACCTTAAAATATTGGCTGCCCACTTACAATATTTTTTACCACTTGAGAAATGATCATATGTGATCACAAACATTTTATTTGCATCTTATTTATAGATGTTCGGTCTAGTCTCAGATGAGGCAAAACTTATACGCATTCATAAGTCATAAAGTATGCTAATTTAACAAATATGAAGAATTCAAGAAATTCAAGATCTTAATGGATGTGTCATCGTCCACAAGCTGTCTTTCAGCTGTTTGCAGATATCTGCAAACTTTGAATAAATTTCCAATTCAGATGGACGGCAAAAATTCAATTAAGTCTTAAAGCACTTTGTTTTTCAAGATTCAGCCACTACCCACCACTTTTTTCTTATTTTTCCCGCAATATATCTAAGCATGGAATCGGTAAAATCAGCACTCTTCTGTACAGCACATGAACACATCTGGTGTGACTACACCATGCTCAAACTGCTATTAAGTATCAGCTATTGTAGGAATTAAGGTGGTGAATGAGCACCAGCAATGTATTTTAAATAGTTTGTGTACATTTGTGTCCAACTTTTGTTTCATATTGTTCAATAAATTCTAAAGGCAATTTTCATTGTATGTGTTCAAAAAATCTCTCTGAAATACTAGTGATGCAGGGCAGCTCTTTTGTTAACCATCTTTTAAGATAAAGACCATTTCTATGTTAACCAATGTCATCGTTATATAAAATTATTTTGTTTTTGTTTTTATCTAGGGAGAACAAATCACTTAACATCTGGTTTTTAATGAGTTCAAATGAGAATGGAACATTAGATGATTAAGGCTATATCTATAATGGGTTAAAAAAATGAAATTTTCATCATGTGTTTAATTTGGTGTAAAAATGAACGTAAGCTGCTGCTTGGTTTCAGTTGTACTTTCTGCTAAAAATAGCACAAGTGAAAAAAAAACTTGATGATTATATGATTTTTCTTTTCTTTTGGAGCTTTTGTTTTTTCACTGAGTGTAGCCACAGCTAAAGCAAAATAATTTCAAAAGTCTTTTAGATATATGCTTGGCACACCGTTCTTTAACATTTATAAAAGTAGCTTGTGCATAAAGAATTACACATTTTAAATATTGTAAGCATTACTAAATGGTATAATTGTTCTTTTGCTATAAATTTAAATATTTATATGTTTTTGTAGAATTAAAAAATATCAATTTAGTTTTCCTTGCTATATGTTGTCTTTTTTTAAAAAGAAAGTTGTTAGTATTTTAAACAGATAAACAAGTTCAGTATTTTATGCATATGCTCCATTTTGTAGATTATTTAAATAAATGATTAAGTGCCTATGGATATCTCTTAGCAGTAAGAAAATATTGTGATCCTGGTACAATTTTGATAGCAAAAAAATATATAAAGTAGAAACATTAAAATGTGCATGGTTTTAAGAATTTATCATTTTTTATTTTTGTTCCAAAATGATTTGAAATTGATATTTTTTCTCTTTTTCTGTTTTATAAAAATGACTTGAGCAGAAAAGCTAAAATGTTTCATATTATATGATGAACGTTATTTCCCAGACTGCTATGAGCCCTGGCCAGTTCCTTGCTTCTGATACTGGAATTCTGGAATACGGTCCATCAGGTTTAGGAGGCGAGGGTGGATGAGGCTACACACTCCAAGGGCAGTGATCCCCCAGGATCAACCACACACAAACTCAAGGGGGAAAATGATAAATCATTTCCTTTGCTAAGTTGAAAGAAAGAAGAAAAAAAAAAGGAAGAAGGAGAGAAGGAAGGGGGGGAGGGTGGGAGTATTCTAACACTATTTTCATATTTTGTTTTGTTCTGAAGAAGACTTACCTAAAATATTGCTTGCATGATTCAGAAGCTCA